CTCTTCTCCCTTACAGGAAAAGACAAATAACCAAGCCTCCACACTGAGCTATCAGCCAAGAAAAGACCTAAAAAGTCCTTTAGTGAATAGATGAGGAAGATCCTGGAGGTAAAAAAAAAAAGAGGTGTCAACCCCTGACTCACTCCAGGCACTGTTTTCTGAGGACACTTGCCTGGAAGTGGCATCTCTACAGTGCATTCAGGCAGTGTGGTTGAGAGAGGCAGAAAGGTCTCCCGAGACAGCTCTGAGGGAAACTTGCCTGGACACAACACAGCAGTACAACATGGTCAGTCGGACCTGCCTCTCCTCCAGGCTCTGGACTCCCAGCACAATGCTGAGGCTATACCACCTCCAGCACCTAACCTCGTATTTCTGCTCCACACCACAGCGGCTTGCACCAAGCCAGCACCGTGATCGCTAACACAGCAAAGCCTAGGCTTTCTCCTTCCCCTTCATGCTGTCCCGTTCTGCTAAGGTAACTCCTGTGCAAGCAAGACAGAAGAAGATCAGAGCAAACTCAGGGGTATCCTCAAGTACAACACCCAGAGCCACCAAAATACTGCTGTATGCCCAGATGGTCAGACCTGGCTCTCCTTACTGGCTATCACAAGGTCACTGTCCTTTGAGTTTGACTGGTGTGCCAAAACCCCTGAAACTGCGCCTGTCATTTATAGCACCTTGTCTCAGATGACTCTCACATGTTTTTATAAACTTTAGTAAATGAGTGTATAAATCACTCTGTCCACCATCGAAGTACTGCCACCTCTGGGACGATACACAGCAACTGCTGTAGAATCAGACCACAGCTCTATGCCACAGATTAGGGCAATAAAACATGCTGCATGAGGCAAATGAAAGGGTTGGAGGGGGGAGATGGCGGAGAGCATTTTGTAGTTATAATTACCTGAGTATAAATTTGGCTGAAGAGGGTACTGTGTTTAACACTTGCATATCTGCAAAGCAAAGCAGTCTTCCACCGCCTGTCAAAACAACCTGACTGGACCATTCTCCAAGTGTTGGCCCTCTAAAGCCCTTCCTTTCTGAAAATGGCAAAGCACCTTGATAAGAGCAAAGCTGATGTGCTGAGCACAAGCAATAACCTAATCAAATTTCTTAGCAACTGACTTGATAACTAACTGTGAGCCTGTAGCTGCTATGCCCCCTCCCTTCCTCTTCTCTGCATGACAACTGAATATAGCATCTATATATTCCCAAGTTTTAAAATAGTTTCTGCTCCCTTAACTTGCAAACCATTCACATAGATCTTATTTTCTAGGCTAAAAGTAGGTAATTACAGTCACTAAGGGGACTGAACTGCTGCATCCTTTTCCTTATTCTGGGATGGGCTCCTTGAGCAGTGCATTGCGTCCCCCTCCCCACTCCCCAAATCACAAACTGTTTATAATAGGAAACCTTTTGAAGGATGGGACTGCATAGATTAAACCTATGAATTTCCCAGTATCAAGGACAGCAGGGGCATAGTTATCCTTCTCTCCCTCTTACCCTTGGCCATAGTCATATACGGATCACGTAAAGCTAAACGTGAAAACTAGTAAAGTAAGGGGGAGTGATTTGAAAGGTACTTCCAATCAATATATGACATTAAACAGCATGGTTTGGGATAAGGCACCAATTTGGGTTGAGGCACCACACAGGCTGTGTACAGTGTTGACCTGCAAAAATCATTCATTTATTTTGAGTGGCCGTCTCTCTACATCAAGTTTTAACTTCTCAGCCACAAGCTTACCTAGCTCCACAACCTCTCCTAGATATTGCAAAAGCTGAAATTATTAGCAAAATCTTCCTGTTAGAGAACCAAGAGAGTCAGGCATTACCTGTCTGAACTGGATTATTATTGAAATACTGCTAATAGTGAGTGACAGCTCAGACAGACCATATACAAAATCAGGTCCATTTAGTTCTCTAGCTCAGATCAGGAGCACACTCACATGCAAGTCTCTTGCACTGGTTCACACTACAGCCTCCAAGTGCAGAGCGAGGGCTCCTTTAACTGGAACTAAACCAGAAAGTTGGTCCAACTGCTAAGAGGAATTTGGTACATGGGGCCAGACTCAAACTAACCCAAAAAAACCTCCTGAGGTGTGTACAGTGTGGACCCAACAGCCCTCACTACCAACTGTGCTAATGACAAATCCATGTCAATAGGAGCACACGACCTGTTAACGTAGACGTAGCCATATACATGGCCTCGCTATATGAAATGTCTGTAAGCAATCAGCCACTTAATGACTGCTTGCAGTCAGCTTTCTATGCTGTTACATGGAAGAGTTTACTAATTCATATCCCCATCTACAGACAGATATGAATGACATCGTGTACCTATCCTGCTGGATACCTCTCCCAGCAATTTCACTTTGGTTTCTTAGGCTGTCAGTTTTCAGGAACTGGTGAGGAGATGAACCATATTTTCCTTAGGGCTGCATAATAGTGGTTTCTATGTGCAACTCTGCCACCAGTATTAACCAGTAAACTGCACGTACTCCAGGCCGAGCTGCACTTTCACATCTTTGCAGGCCCTAAGGAAGGCAGTTGAACTCGCCGGACACAAGGGCATAATTAGGTCTGCCGTATTTGAATGAAACAAGTAAATATGCTCCAGCTGGAGTGTTGTAGAGCTAATAACCTAAGAATATAACCCAAGCCCTATAGGTTAGAGCATTACACATCAATGGTTTCATTGTATAGAGTTAACTCACACCAGAGGTATGAAGCATGCACCGAGAAAAAGCTCCGCGGATCAGATTGCGTAGTCCTAACCTCCGCTGCTGTCGTCCATCTGCACCCTCAGAGCAAAAGCAATCTTAGAGGGAGAACCACCATGCTCAGAACCTCATCATGCAAGACAAAAGATGACATTTTCTGTGTAAATAAATCCTGGCTTTTATGTTTACACAAGCAAAAGGAGGGAAATGGTCGCTTTTGAACGGGCACACTTCGCATAGTCGAGAATTTTCTATTACCAGCAAAGCAGAAAATTATACAACTCTTTTCTTGTTCTGTAAGTGCAACACAGAGGATGGAATGCATAAAAACTATGAAACTCCCAAAACTGTATAGTTAAGGCTTTCAGCGTGCAAATCCAGCAGCTAAAGTCCTGCAAGACAGCCATGCCTGGTGTCATTTTATTCCTGTTAGCCTCGTGATCCATTATAAAAGTGTTCATGAAAAGAAAAAGACCCTCAGTCTGAATTCTCATAAGTAACAACTTGTGCAGAGAGTGCAGGGTGTAAGAATGGCTGCTGCATGGTCTGCTAGATATACAAAATATTGTCAATGGTTATCCAGGAAACATAAATGCCCTTGGTAAATACAGATAGTGAGGGAGAAGTCATTTGAACACAGTATAAGAGAATTAGATATTGTGATTTTTTTGAAGCATACACATATATTCTGCTGCTGAAGAAAAAAAAAAAGCAGCATGAGTATTTAAAGCAAAACCTTCCAGTTTATAGTTCATAAGAAAGTTGTTTATGTCCTTACAAACATCAGTAAATAAAATTGACCACAAAACGAATAAAAGTATCTGGACAAGAGGCAAATAATAGAAATGTGTAGTTTTAGAGTCTGATGACAGCGGGTTTATTTCAATAACGTAAAATATTTTGTAAAGGTTAACCTTTCACTATGACCAAAAGTTTCTGGCCCATCTCTTCAGTTGCTGTAAAGTGACATTATTTAAGAGTTTCCAAAAAAAACCCTAACCAATATAGATTAATTTTGAAATTTTGGCTGAAAATATTAATAAAATATACATACATACATGACTGAGACAAGTAGGGGTCATTCAGGTGCCACCGTGGCATGACGACATTCACATTGCCTTGCTCCCTGCACAAAGCCCCACACCAGCAAATCATACTCACGTGTTTTGCTGAGAACTCATCAACCTCCTGAAGCACCTTCTCCTGGCACTCTGGGTTGGTGGCTAGTAAGTACGTGGCAAAGGAGAGCGTGCTGGTGGTGGTCTCGTACCCAGCGATCAGGAACAGGAAAGCTTGGCCTGCTATCTCATCCTCCGTTAATGTCTTCTGAACCTTTTCAGGTGTGGCCCTGCCAGCAACAGGCACCTCGTTCTGTCTGGAAGCAGCAGATGGACTGATCACATCCAAACACCCGGCTGCCAGGGAGTCAGCTGAGTCGCGAGAGTCGAGCATCCACTGAAGAAAATCTCTGCGTCTCTGCAGAGTAGAGGATGAGAAGAAGTACAAAGAATGGGTCACAGAGAAATGCCTTTACCCATGGGGGATGGAAGGAGAGAGCTGTTTTATTCCTATACTCTGTCATTCCTATATGGCCCACTTGGCTCCCACAGAATGGCCACCGAACAAGGAGACTTCTTTAAATCAGCTAGAAATGCCTTCACTAAGAGCTGGTCACTGCTTTCTTCCCAGTGGGATGAGACTGATCTGCCCCCAGTATATAACAGGTACATATTTTCAGAGGTTTGCTTGTGGCCAGCTCCACACAGAGATTCTTTCACCTTCAGGGTGAGTTCCTGGCATTTGCTGGAAGTAAGAGGATTGACATAGTCAATTCACAGTCCCATGTGCACCTGCCAAGAGGAGGTGGGAGAACTCGTGCTTGGAGGAGTTGGCCCATCCGCTCCGAGGCACCTTCCTCACTTGTTCACGTGGTCCAAAGCATAAAAGTCACCATCTAGGGTTTAGGGTTGCATCTACAATAATTTCTACGCCAGCTTAACAAGACAGGACTAGAAACTGATCTCAGTAAACTGGTACATCTTTTTATGACAAAGTAGTTATGAATGCTTGTACCAACATAGCATTTTTTAATTTTTTTTTTTGTAAACATATTTGCAGAAACACATTACAACAGTAAGCATTCCTCTACCATAAAACCTGTTTAGGTGGCTTGTCTTTGCAAAATACTCAGGGTGAGTTCCTGGCATTTGCTGGAAGTAAGAGGATTGACATAGTCAATTCACAGTCCCATGTGCACCTGCCAAGAGGAGGTGGGAGAACTCGTGCTTGGAGGAGTTGGCCCATCCGCTCCGAGGCACCTTCCTCACTTGTTCACGTGGTCCAAAGCATGAAAGTCACCATCTAGGGTTTAGGGTTGCATCTACAATAATTTCTACGCCAGCTTAACAAGACAGGACTAGAAACTGATCTCAGTAAACTGGTACATCTTTTTATGAGAAAGTAGTTATGAATGCTTGTACCAACATAGCATTTTTTAATTTTTTTTTTGTAAACATATTTGCAGAAACACATTACAACAGTAAGCATTCCTCTACCATAAAACCTGTTTAGGTGGCTTGTCTTTGCAAAATACTCACTGAATGATTCTACTGTTATGAAAACGTGCTTTCTTTCACGCTAGTTTCTGACAGAAAAACTCTAATAAACAGACCTATGGACAAGAGTGAGTTGATTCCAAACCAGTCTGGGCAGCAAGCTTGATTAGGCTTTGAAATATAACCCAAAAGGTTTGAATTGACTTTTGGGAGTGGGCATAATAGAATTGTGCTGAACCTATGCCATAAGGCTATGTGATTGATTTTCAATTCCTCAAATACCAACAGAATACATGATAGCTCAAGGACTTAGAAGTGACTGCAGTGCCAGAACATGACAACTTGTGCAGCGGGATGGACAAAAGAAGGGACCAAGTTTTTCTCCAGAAGAAAAAAATGCTGTAAAGCTGCATTTATCTGTTAAAAAGAAATCATTTGAATGATTTCTTGGATCTGATGACTGAGAGATAAAGTAGAAAAAAGAAAAGCCAGAGAAAAGGACAGGCAAACAAGATAAGAGTAAGGAAGGACTAATTAATTACAAATGTCAAAGGACTTAATCAGATTTTTTTTTTCCACATGGCATGGGAAAAGAGAGCAGTGAGACAACAAAAGAGGAGAAATACTTAGTGTCCTGTGCTTAGCTCTGCTGCCAACAAGCTGTTCTGAGTGATCTACAGGCAGAGAGGAATAGTTATTTTGAGGTTTTGGTAATACGTGGGGTTGGCGCACTGCCTCTTTAACAGCTCCTTCCCCCTACCCCACAGAACCTTTTCATTTTCCATGAGTACATTACACAGCTTGTATCCATGACCACAGTGCATCTTGCACCCCAGTACACCCAAAAATCGATGCTCCAGATAGTAGCCAGTGCTGGTCACTGCATGCTGAAGGACTCTACAAATTGGCCAGGCAACCTGCATTACCTCCAAGGCACAGGATACATGCTTTTTCCCCAGTAAGTGAAGGCACACAAAGCAACATTATACACGTTGTGCTCAGCGAAGGAGCTCCAGCTCTAAAAATACTTCCTTATGCCTAGACTTAAGCACAATGTCCATATTCACATTGGCCATGCTTCCTTGGTCTTCCTTGGTGAAAAGTTGCAACTGCCCTGCCCAGTCATCCTCCTCCAGCATAATAGGATACCTCTGCTCTTTTATGTTCCTCTAGACTGGAGGAAGCAAGACTTTACGCGTACTTCAGCTCTGCATAGCTAAAAATCTCATTTAACTTTTCCAGGAAGGGCTTTATTCACATGCTGGGAGTCCATGTATTGCACAACTCAGAGTGCAATGCTTCGGCATAGCCTATGCTTCAGGGATTTTCCTGGTACATGTATTTGGGTTAGGACATTTTTTAAATTAAAAAAACCCCTGGAACAGTCTAGTTCCAATGTGTTCATTAGTGTGTGGATAAACTGGTCCAGTATAGTAATGAACTGCATCTGTAGAGATACTGCCTTTTATCCATAACACTAGTCATCATCCCCTAAACTACCTTTATAACATAAAAATGTATAATTACATTCATATTTAGTGGAGTGGGAACACTGTAACATACTACAGTTCAAATGGTACAACATTTGGTATGGTTCTGCATTCATCCTTCTCTAGCTGTGAATTTTCTTGTAAACAACCCCATTGCTCTCTGAGGGTTTGCAGTTCCCAGTCATGAGCTGTTAGCTGAGTCTGGTCTTATATTTAGACAATATACTCTCTGGAGACCCTATAAGATGTTTCTCCAGCCTTAGACAAAATCAGGTCCTGGCCTTATACAAAGCATCTGGTTATTGCTACGATAGTAAAGTAATAATCATAATGACTAGTGAATAAAATTTCATTCATGAGAATTTTTGCTGAAAGCAAACTTAATGAATGCTAGCACAAGTCAATATTCCCAAGAATGTGCTCTGAAATGCCTCTGTGGCCATTTTGAGGAGCTCTTTTTATTACTCACACAATATATTTGGTTGGGAATTTAAAAGCTTGTCTTGTTGCAGAATCTGTTTATAAGGTCACCCTATCGAGAAACAACCAGATACTCTATCTGTGCCATGTAATTTGTTCACAGGTGAGCAGGGGTTGCTACGAGCAATGGCTTCAATCCTTACAAAAACAACATTAATTTGTAAAAACTACTTAAATAATAGTGAGGGAAAAAAGTACAAAATTAGAAAGATGCAAGCTTTTTTCAGGATAATTCTACACAGTGGAAGGAGCTATATTTTAGCAAAGCTTCTCTTCCTTATGGTTCATTCTACTTCACTTTAGGCATCAGTATAGAATGCAACATAAAAAATTGTCATCAACCCAAGCGAGAGAAAAGATTTCCAGGGTTATAACCAGTCATAATGAAACATATTTTTTCTTCCGCGCCATCAGGATGGAAGAATCACTCTGACTCAAAACCCTAACAATGGCAATAGAGGCAAATGCTAGCATAAAACTAAATATAATTGGATTGTTAAGTGGTGGAAATGAGGAAAAGGTATCTCATGAAAATTCACGGAGGTTTTCTCTGCTTTGGTTGACAGCAGAAAAAAAAAAAAAAAAAGGCATTTTTTTCAGTTTGACAACAGAGCAGGTACAGACAGTGTCGCTTCACGGAAAACATTCTCTGGTCGTCACATACAGCTGCTGGCTTCCTTTTTCCATTGGGGACATTTGTTTGATTTTCCTCACAAAAAGCAGAAGCCCATAATAGCCTCAATCCTGTCCTCTGACACTTGCATAGTTATGTTACAATGGCCTCAGAAACAAGTTCCCGCTTCAAAAGAACGGCGTGTCAGTGCAACGGACTCTTGTTTTGTCCCCTTATAACACAGAGCCTATCATTAAGCCAATGAAAATTGAATGGAAAGCTACTATTTGAAAAAAATCTAATTTGAATGCAGTATGGGACGGGGTGCATGTCTAACTTGGTGGTGACACAGACATCCCCTTTGAAATATAAAATAAGACAAGCCCCGCTTTCAGCTTCCCCAAGATAGACACCTTGCAATATATTTCCTGACACCAGTGTTCTGGGCCATATCATTTCTCTCATTAGTCTCCTTAAACATCACCTGGCCATGCAGAGAAATCATTCTGCAGAGAACCGTAACGAGCTATGTGCTAGACACTGGAAGAATAGATGTGTGCTATACTGGGGAAGGCCAATCCGGCAGTATCTATCACCCCTCCTCAAATCACTGCTTTTAAGTTTTGCAACTGTCAGAAGAAGAGAGATATATCGCTCACATGCATGATGTATCATGACTTGTCTCACAGGAGGCCAGGGTCATGGGGGGGTGGCGGATGTCTCCAGCTCTTTCCATCCTAAACAGGGAACTGTGTTTTCATATCTTAAGACTGACACACAGGTTGGCCTTTTGGCAAATTCACTGCTGCTTTAGGGATGCAGGGGACCCTTGGGTTACGCTTTTGGTAGAGACTGAGCCATTCGACTTCTCTGTAAGGTGAAGTCAAAAATTACTGAAGGAAAACTACCAAATGTCTATCAGTTGGAATTTTTGTTCCCAATGTTGCGATTTCGGTAGTGTTTTCTGCAAATTATACTCAAATTTTGCCCCACTCTGATAGTTCAGCTCCCCATTTTGAGTTCAAAAGAGCCCAGGACTACAAAAAGCAACTTAAAGATGAATCAAGGAATCAAATCAGAAAACATAATTGGTTGGTATTCCGTAAAGCACTTGCTGTGGTGCAAGTCATACAAATGTGATGCTGCTAATATAACACCACTCACAATAAACTGTGCAGACCCCCCTAGCCTTTCTCAGATGCTCTGATGGCAGCTCAAAAAAGCAGAAGCTAAGCTTCAGAATCCTCATCAGGTAGAAAGCTCACATCTCACGTTATTTCAGTTTCCTACAAATATACAAACACTGTTATATTAGTTTATATCCATGTCCCTTTTTGT